TATGCTAAGGGTAATTTATTGACTGTTAATCCTTTTATTTTAAATAGACAATCAATTTGGCCAAATGGAACCAAAGCAGAACCAAGATCTCCACGTGATGAAGCCACAAGAATGAGAACAAGAGTCGCGGCAAAAGTTGCATTACTGTCTAGTCTGTCAGGCAAGTTGCTTTTTACAAGAAAGAAATTTTGGAGAATGATCCTGCCAATCATAAAAAAATAAATAGCAATTTTTAAAAACTTCGCTTTTTACAATGTTGCACATGAGCCCTTTCAAGGGTGATTTTGACTGAGCTGTTGGTCTTGCTAACCCAGAGTTGCAGGAATTAGTCATCTATTCAGTACTGCAAGTTCTGCATTTGCATTCCTTGTAAAAATGTTAGCAATGGAAAATCTTCCTATCTCATCACTTTTATTAATACATAATTGCCAGAAAAAGTTCATGGAATGCTAGATAACTTTTTGTCCACCAACGAATGTAGGAATAAAGTAAATGTTGACTATTAGTTCCTTAACCATATCATTTATTTTTTAAGAACAATTTTCATCATTAAATTTGAGGGTCATCATTCTCTTAATTATTCTTTATGAAAATGTATAATCCTGATATGACATGTTTTTTGTCAATATGCAGAATAAATGTGACAAATTTCTGAGGCATGTAGAAGGTTTGAAAATGATCACTTTTCCTAAACATATAGTGGGAAATTGCATATAAAGGAGTGCTAGGTGTACCTACATTGATGTTTGCCCCTGATATTAGGCAACCACTATGTGCAGATGTTCAGTAAGTACATGGAATGTTGTATATGATCTGTCAAACATCTGTTTATGAGTAAATTCAGATAAATATTTTCCATGTGTAACTTTGCTATCTGAAATTTTCTACATGTTCATTGGCTGAAAGGTATTATTTGTGACCCTTCCATGCGCCCTAGAAGTTTGTAACCTTTATTCCAAGATATTGTGAGTATTGTCATTGCGTGAAACCAATATTTGTGTGATATCATTCAATTATTGTACAAGTTTTTTATTTAGATAATGTCAAAAAAAACTTAATATAAAACAAATGTATAATTATTTTCTTGATGTAAAACATACTTACAAGTTTGCACTCATTACAGATGAACTGAAACACATTATTGGGAGTGAAACTACCCGTCGAGGATTACTATGTGTATTTGAGCTTTTCCAACATCCTGTCCTCAACCGGCGACTGCTATATGTTCTGTTGGAAGGCATCCTGGAAACACTCTTTCCTCAGCATAATTTCTCTGCAATTTTTCGCAAACTGCATTCAAGATCTCCACGTGTTCGGAATGATTTTAAGACCTTGCAACGATCACGTCAGGATCTCAGAAGATGATAATAAAGGAAATTATAGAATAATATTTATTTTCTTGTAGCAATTAGAAGGGTTTTATTAAGCTGGCTTGTTGATTAGGTAGCTTTTACCCACATTCCTTGTTTTATATTTTTTGGAGTAAAATTGTTTATAATATTAATCATGTTGATTTTTTCTGCTTTATTGCATTATGAATAACAATGCAGGAATATTATGGGTTCAAACAGCTGAGTTCAGCAAAAGTCATGGAAGTCAAATACTCATTTATTATTCTTTTTATGTGCATAATCTTTTACAGATTTATTTTTTCTTGTATAATTGTAGTGCACGAGAACCTACTCACTTCTCTGTAAAGTGTAAATATTGAATAGAAAAGTGTCAGAAACACCTATTTTGTCATGACTCATGAAATCTATGATATGTCATAGTTTAATTGTGACCAAATGGTGATTACTGTTGTCTGTGATTCTGTCTTTGTGGTTTAAAATTCCTTTTACTGCGCCTCTGGGTTGATGCTTTGTTCTGCAAACCAAAGTCTGAATTGGATTATGAAAATGACTTTGTTGTTGATGTTTTATTATTGCATGTAGATATATATGTAGGGGCAATAATACTATAATGAATGTATGAGTGTTTTATGGATATTATAATGTAGGTGAGGTACAACCTGGGAGGATATTATTTTAAGATTTTTGTTAATTTTAATATCTCTTATGAGGACCTACAGAGATAATTTGTGTATATTGGCTTTTAGAATGTTTATTGTATATTGAATATTGATGTTGATATTCATCTTCACTTCTCTTCTATATTTAGAGAAAAGTGAATAATACTGTTGTACCTACTATCTCATTGTTTGAAATGATAATTTATTTTTTTGGAGTTATAAAATCTCATCAGCTTGATCAACATGCATACTATTTTTGTAAGAGTTTGGAAGGACAGTAAATTTGTCTTTCCTTTGTTACAAAAGCTGATTTCTCAATATGATCGTTTCCCATCGCTATAAGAAACCAAATAAATGATCTTTATTTCTCACTTTCTGTTCATTAAAGTAATAGAATTGCATTTATTTAGTATTTATTTTATAATGTGCCAAAGAAAATTGTATTTTGAGATTCTTTAAGTCAGTACCTTTATTAAGTTGTTTGTATACTTTAAAGAATTTTTTCTTATCATCTGCCTCTTGAAAAAAGATAACAGGAAGTCTGGTTTACCAACTAAATCAAGTCATACAGAAATACTTTTTGTTATGTACAGTTTGTGCAATGTTGTTTTAACTTAAAGCACTGTTTTTCTTTCCCGTATTTTGAAGAGAATTTTCATTTGTAGAATAACTTCTAAGTATTATCAATTTACTAAATTGAATCAGTAGTACAGTTTCACAAAAGATTGTTGTACAAAGTTTAATGTTATTTTTATTTTTGAAGATGTGTTTAAGAAAAATTTATTGTGTTGAGTTCACTATTTAAACTTTACCTGCCTTACTATTTATTTAATTATAAATGCCCCCCCCTCACTTTATTAAAAAATTTACAATGTTCAGGAATATATTTTTTTACAAAATGTAAATGTCATCTGGCAAAAACATGGCTTGTTTGAAAAAAAAAAATACTTTGGCTTAAGTTTTGTTTTTATTCAGTTATTATGAAACTACACAATGGAACCTATATTAGAAACTTTTCTCTAGTACAGTGATATATTGATACATATCTCTAGTTTCAAAAAATTGTGGAAGATAAGGAAATTATGTGAGGAATATGAAAGCTGTAAGCATTAGAAGATTAAATATGTAAAATATGTCCCCACCCACAACACTTAATGTATCGTTTTTCTTTGATCTTTTGATCTTTATTCTTTTTGATATTTGAAATTCATATTGTGAGATTTCCCTGTAAGCAGATTCTTATGTGATGATCAACTAAATCGAGACCTTTACTTTCATTATCATTCAGGTGTCGATATTCATCTTGTGTTCATATTTTTGTACTGTTCATATGGTTTTATTTGAACATTTTTTAAAAGTTTTATTATTGAAATATTTTATTTCATTCTGTAATAGATCATCGTAATCTATCATTCTCGGTTATTACAGCATATTATTTGTTGTTTCTCTATGTTGTGGTTAGTGAAATAAGTGATACATTAGAATAATTATTAATTACAAATTATATACATTTGATTTGATTTTCAGAAATATTTTATTCTGAAACAATTACGGTATGTGAGGTACAATTAGGTTATGTTAACTTTAATGGTAACCCTTGACTTGACAATAGAAAAGGGAGAGCCATTTTTAAAAACAATGCAAGGTATTTTCTTGCCTAATTTCTGCTTAGTTGAGTTTTTTGATGGTGAATCATACTAGTAATTTCATTTTATCTTGATTAGGTTTTAATTTGTTCTAGTTTGAATTACAAAACATTGTTTCAATATAGTCATTAAATATTCAATCTCTCTTTGTTGAGAGCATGAACAAGAAATGCCAATGTCGAGTTGAAAATGATTTTCAAGGAAATAAATTTAAACCAGAACACTAATGATAGTGTTGACATAACCGCTATTAGATTGTGCCAAACAGCATTTTCATTAAAATGAAGGAACTCTAAGTTCACCACACCATTATTTTAGGGTATACTGATGGTGTTATGGACAAAACATTCTTTTTTTAAAATAAACATTCTTTGCTCATACATTTTATTTCTGACCTTCATTCTAGCTATACGTTTGCTAACATTTGTTCTTGAAACCATAATGAGTTGCATTTAAATGTAACGTTTCCATATTTTTCTATCAACGGAATACATTTGTTGTCTACAACATTGTGTACTAATTTTCCCACATTATGTAGATTTGTTTCTTTTTGCTGGTTTATATTTCTATACATACTTATAAAAATTTGAACAAGGCCCTTTTTGTCATATATTGATCATTCACATAAAGACATATACACATTTGTGTCAGAATCGGAATTATTCTTAAACACTGGTTGTTCTTTTCTGCTAATTTTAATTATGCTCTATTCCTAATTATACATTTTAGTAGCTGAAAGTAGGAAGC